AAGTCATTAGTTCAGAAACTTATCAAAAATAAAGATCATTGAAGATTGTAAGGCTACGGCTGCTTATTTATCAAAAGTAGTGACTAAAACAAGAAGCATTTGATAGGAAACATGGAGCAGCTATTATCCATATGGATTGAATACTTGAAATAAATTACAAAAACATGCATTTTTAAAAATTATTTCTAATAAGGCCATTTGAATTTATTAATCATATTTTATTTCTTGAAAAACAGGGAGGGGGAAAAATTGCAGATAACAATAATTTTTTATTTAGTTGCTTGATAAGTCTGGTTTCTAAAAGTTTAGAATACTGGCAGAGATGCAATACTGCTGTATATATAATGTGACAATTAAATGTATATAAAATGATTTAACAATTCTGGTACAAATTTTTTGCTTCCTTATCCAAACACACACACATATATATATACTTTAATTTAATCTTTGATATATATATATTCAATTTGAAGCTCACCTAGGAATATTAAGTACAACAATGCCTTGCAATGAAGGCAAAGGAATTCGTCTACCATCACATTCTAAATGAACTCGCTGCTCCAGATTTCTGAAGGTACGATGCAAAAGCTCTTTTCCACCAAGGACACCATACCACATAAGATTTCGCGTCCTAGACCTGTTTTAGAAATTAGGCAGGGAGGAAAAAAAAAAAAAAAAAAAAAAAAAAAAGAGGAAGAAGAAACATGAATTAAAAAAAAAATATCAATGAAAAGATGAACAAAAATGCAGCTGATACAAATTACTGAGGCTAGAACTATGATGAAAGATTTATAGAATGAAAATCAAAACTTCAGTTATATGAATGAATTTATTGCAGTCAATCAAAACACATTTTAAAAACTTAAAGATTTTAAATAAAATATAAAAAACTATATGAATTCAGGAAAAAAATATGAATCAATTTTATAACCTATAGCATTAGACACAGTTTTTATTAATTACAGTAAAACTTCAAATTCTCATAACAGTTTTCAGTCAAATGTGAATTTATATTACTTAGATATATTGAGAAAAGTAAAATACAAATTTAATTAAGAAATGCATTTATTGCTTGTAAATTTTCAGTTTGTTAACAAGTAGCAGATTGATTAAATTTGAACAAAAACATTTTATGATGTGGCAAATATCAATACTAAATAAATTACAGATATGTCTTGTGCATTCTAGTAAATGCTTTGTTGGTAAACAAAAAATCTACAAAATTATAGATACAGGGGTTGGACAAAAATATGGAAACACCTTGTAAAACACGTTTGAACTGAAATGTTTATTTTTACGAAAGCTGTTGGTGGTGCTGATGTGTTTGCTCACTAACGCCATCTGTACAACATCCTCAATACACTGCAAATGTCTTTTGTTATCAAGACAGTGTTCTGCACAGTTGTGATTGCATCACGTCAGAGCTAAATGAATCTGAACATGGTTAAATTGTTGGTGCTTGTATAGTGGGTGCTTCTGTAGCTGATGAAGGGTTTCATTCAATTTCTAATCAAGTCATTTTACATTAAACTCGCCAAGGGTATGGACGTAAAATACCGCATAACAGAATGGCTTTACAATTCGTTACACTGAAAATTTCTGCCAACTCCTAATGTCCAATTTCAGGTTGCATGTACATTGGAAGAAGAGTCAAAGTGCAAAGATGAGAGGATCATTCTGGAATTATAATTAAGAAAATACGACTTATTCATAACATTTTCTTTTATTCATGACAGCTGATATTTCAGGGCCGAACCTGTAATGGGTTAAAAAAATACAGAGAAAATAACTATTCTTAAAGAATTATCACATTATACTACCTTTATAATTTTGGTTACTTATATAGTATTTTATTAGTAATTTTTGAATAAAGTAAAATAATATACAAAATTTTTGAAATTTGGACTTGATACTTTTAAAGAAAATACTAGTAGAACTTCAGAGAAGTACCAAATAAAAAAGTATAAGAGCACTCATCTGGATTTATACCTGCATTTTTCGGGATGTTCTTCCCTTTTATTATGGAATTCAAGAGTTATCTTGGCATCTACTCCAATTCCAAAGTAGTTATTCATTACGCACTTTTCTTGAAACCCTTCTCTAAGGAGGAATCAGAAAATCTTACAGTTTTAAACAACACTTTTAAAAGGAAAGAAAATAAAAAAATTTACAACTGTTTAATATTTTTACATTTATCAACAGTTTTATCTGATGTGGTTTCAACACTCAGGACACAATATCACAAGAAATATATATTCTAAAAACTATAAATTGCACTTCTAGGTCAATTCACTGAAAAGAAGTTAATCCAAAATGTTGCACTTCGAAGCAGCTTGTGATGAAAAATAGATGCTTTCAATAAGTATATTTGATGAATGCAAGAATATGAAATTTTTATCCTGAAAACAGCAAGCAGCTAAAAGTAAATTAACTACAAGCAGTATGAAAAGTTTTAATTTTCTTTTTGAAAAGCATATCTTAGTTTTGTTGTACTAATTTTCAGATTTTTAATCATACGAAAAGTTTCCAAATAGTTAAAAGGGGAAGAGGATTAAAATTATATACACATTTAAAAATTAACTATTAGACATTTAAAATTAGTTAATTTAAACTGGGGGAAGGAAATTTTTCACATTACTTTTTTGAACCAAATAGCAATTTTATAATTTACAAGCTAAAAATGCAACTAATTCTCTTTCTGATGTTTTAAGAATTTTAATTTCATTCTGCAGTTTTCAAGAAAGTATTTTAAATATCATTAAAAATTTCTTTCCTATTCTCTCTTTTCTGAACAGAAATGAAATTTTTCCTGTTTTGGTGTAGAAATTAAGCAAAACTCAATACTCATTTTGATTTGGCAGGACATGTCAATTAAATTCTTTTAAAATTGTTCTAATTTATGTAAATATTAATGTTTTATATTTGTATTTAGTTTTATATTAATTTTTTATCTAATTTGCATTTGTTTTTAATCATTTGTTTATTTTTTGCATTATTTATTATACCTGTATTATTTATAGTATTGTGCAATTTTTAACTTAGAGGCACTTGCTGAAATTTTTTCGTGTTCAACTACTTTATTATAGTATTGCACTATTTGTAATTTTGTGTAACAAAACATTAGAGTTGAGAAATTATTTTCTAGAAAACACATTTTCTACAATCTAAGATTGGTTTTCATGGTATGATCTATAGGCTGTTGTATAAATAAAAGGCAATGAGAAGCCATGAATTAGTTTAATTTGATTGCAATTGAAGTATTGCTGCTAAGTTAGTGGTTTTGTAAGTCTCAGTACTTGTTTTGTATTTAGGGAATTACAGTGATTTCTTTCATTTCTCCCATCGCTGTATCTTTAGTTGATCCTTTTCATTTTAAACTACAATAAAAATACAAATCCTTCTTTTCATAAGGACTGTTGTCATAAGAGAACTCTGTAAACTATTAACATGTAACAATATTGCTTAGCATAAAAAAGGTGAATTCTTTAGTTTTTGTCGTAATCTGGTGCAGCATATACTCTTTGAGGCAGTCTTGAGAACCTGGCATAGAAATTATTCATTTTCTATAGAACTCAAGTTTTAATCACAGTTATATTTGTGGAGATAATTATAAAATGTTTTTAAAATACTCAAAAAAGCCAAATCCAAAGCTTCTTTTCTAAGCATACTCTCATACAGAAAAATTCATTTAATGTTTAAAAATATCAAAGTCAGTATAAGAACACCAGCTTTAGATATGCTGCAAAAAATATAACTACAGATTATTTATTTGTTAAAAATATTGAATTCCATCAAAATGTAACTGCTTGGAAGTATGAACAGCAAATACATTATCTTTGTTTTTTAATTTAACTATATTTTAATAAAATTAAGAATTTTCTTAAAATCATAAAATAAAGTTTCAAATCAACAATAAAAATTGATTTAATTTCTTAATTCTGTAATTTGTGATATGAAAGATTCTGAATAATCATGTATGCCCTCATTCAAATTATTCACATTGCAAAGAGAAATGATAAAAATATCCTTAACAAAATCAATATGACTCATGCAGTTAAAAAAATTGATAATTTATTCTGTAATTAAAACTCCTGTAAATATAATTAAAAATACAAAACAAAATGTATACAAAAAATTCTATTTCAGGTACTTAATGTACGATATCAGAAATATCTTTTTAAAATTAAATACCACAAATATCCATTAAAATTATCAGTTGGATACATTATAAATTAAATGTATTTAAAATTATATCAATTGGATATATTATTAAAAGTAAAGTGAGGATAACTTTTAAGGTCACTGGTTACCAGTTATCTACAAGTTGGCAGTCGCCAGTGGAGACCAGAATTGAAATTCATATAACTAAAATAAATAAAAGTATACCAGTGACCATCAAGGCCATATCACACTAATAACCTATGGGTTGACCAATAACCTTTAGATCAAACCAACTAGCTAAACATCATTACTGCGAGGTGGTGCAATAAATTTAAATATATTATTAAAATAAACTGAAAATAAAAGATACTAGTGGTCAACTCATATTTGACCAATGTAGGACAGGACAGTAAATTTAATCAATTATAGTAAATTTAACCAATTATAGTTACTGGAGACTTAATAACCACTGTGAGTAATGCAATGTATTGTATGAATGCAATGTTTTCCAAGATGAATCATAGAGTAACATAGCACAATAAGAAATTTTTGGAAAGACACAGCAGCTAGGCATATTTCTAACATCAGTGTTCAAAATGCTAAGATAATATACTAATGCTTGTGAATAATTCAACACCATAAAGGAATTGTTGGAAATGAATGAAATTTATTCCACATATTACTAATAGTGGTACAAAAAATTACGACGTTTTGCAAGACACAAAAACAAAATGAACGTCGGAAATCAATGCTTTGTGTATCCACCATGCTCAGCAATGAGAGCATGTCCACGTCTGACATTGAATCATATAGGTTCTGTATGTAATTCTGGGAAATGACATTCCATATGGCTTCGACTCAATGCCAAAGTCTTAGTGTGTGATCCACCAACTGCAAAAGTAAGTCGCCGACTGATGAAATCCCAAACATGCTCATTGGGCGACATATCTAGGAAATAAACAGACCATGAAAGAAGCGGAACCTGTTGTGCCCTAAAGAAGACTTTTGCAGTCTGAGAAAGATGTGCACAGACATTATCTCGCTGAAATACAAGTGCATGGAATGTGTTAAAGAATGGAGAGGACCTCTGGCTCCACACTTCCCTTATGTAGCAATCACTGTTGGGGTTACTCACAATCTGCATCAGATGGGATCGACAATTATATCCAATAGCTTCGCACACCCTGATGCCAGGCATTTGTGCAGTATGACGCTGGATAACACACTCTGGGAGCGGACATTCCCCTCTGTAGCGTCTGATGTGTACTCTTCCATCAAAGTATACTTTAAATTGTAGCAAGATTAATTGCAGAAAACAACTTGTTGACACAGGGCATACTGTGTTCCAGTGGCCACTGAAGTCGGAGGTGTCTGTGATTCAGTGACAGAAGAATCCTGCTTAGTGAAACCATTCCACGCAATTCATACTGCAGCAGATTGCAGCTAGATAATACAACACCTGTAGACGTGCTCCAATGTTGTGCAAACATAACAGAGGACGTTACGCGATCTGTCACAGCCCATGTAATTGTGCTTTGTATGCCCCACTGCCAGGATTTCACCTTGTTTGGTTCTCCTCTGTCCATTTCCTCCAAACACAAATATTGTTGTGGCATTATGCTGTGTGCCGACTATGATTGCTAGTTGGTTGGTTGATATTTTTTAATGGCACAAAACCTCGAGGGTTATTATGCGCCAGACAAATGGCGAATAAAATTCAAGATACACAAACACACTGAATCAAGTGAATTGATGAAATGAACCTGAAATGCTGATGATGGCATGGAAAAATGACTTTGAGAAATACTCTAGCAACAGGTAGAGCAGGATAGAAGGAAAATAACTTCAAATCATATGGTAAAAAGAGATGTCTTTTAAAAATCTTATGAGGTGGGGGTTTCTTCCAATGAGATGAAGGTAAGGAGAAATGACCGAGAAATGCTCTAGCAACAGGTAAAGCAGGATAAAATGTAGTTCAAATCATATGGTGCTATGATTGCTAGATACGAAAGTCCACCCTCTAGCGTACCGATGATAAGGCTTCATTTGGGCTTGTTAGTTGTTGGTATGGCACCTTCCACAGTTGTCTAGGCACTCTGACCACGGATTAAATATTCATAGACAGAGTATGATGAACAGACTTCAACAGAACATTACAGTCATTTATATACATGGAACAAGTGGCCAGTTCTCATTCCATTGCATGCGCAATCACTTTGTAATTCTAATCATCTGCATGTCTTACCTCTACCCACCGTCTAACCTATCTTTACATTTCCTGCACGCTCGGTTCACTTTGTTTAATTCCTTCATGGCGTTGCAATTTTCACAAACATTAGTGTAAATACAAAGAAGCATTCAGAAACATTCTCTTATGTTATTAACTTAGTGAATAATGAACTCACAGTGACATTTCTTCAACATCCATTAAAGGTGAAGCAGCAGCACATAAAGCATCAGCATTAGCTAGAAGAACTTTCCCAATTAAACTGTCCTTATTTAAATTAGGCCACATGGGTAAAGATGCCAAAGGATTAATTATAGGAAATTCTCTTCCTCCTTGTGAACTCTCAGAAAAACCCCTGTCATGTGATTGGCAAGGAAGCAAAGAGATGCCTACTCCAGAGCCTATTTGAAGATTAGTAGTGCCAATTTGTTTGAGTGTGGCACCACTACTTATGCGGCGAGTAGCTGTAGGAGATTGAGCAGTTTCACCTACAGAAAGAAAAAAAATAATTCTCAGGTTAAAATAACGAGATTGAATTTTACATAATACTTACTAAGAAAATACTGTTAATTGAATTCTACATAACATCCATGAAGAAAATATTGTTAACAAATTAAATCATGTAAATTATGACTTCAGAAAAATTTCAAACCTTTTCGTATTTCACAATTAAAAAATTATTATTTTTTTTTATTACTGTAAAGAAAATAAACCAGTTTAAATACTTAGAAAATAATAAGAGCTAATTTTAATAATCACCACATTTTCTTCATAAAATTCCACTATGCTTGCATGAAAGCTTTTATAAAAAAATAATCCCATTGAATCATTTAGAGATGTCCTATCAAATGCAAAAGATTACAACGTTATCATCATGGCTACTACAGGTCAGCAAAGCCTTTATCTTAAATATTTACTTTAATTATGCAGCCATCAAGATCACTCTCTGACACTTGAATTAAAAGGCTTAGAAGTTAAATTTTATCCAAGATTACTGTAATTTCAGGAAGAAATGCCGCGGCGTTTACGTGTTTAAAACTTAAATTTTCAGCGGGTGCGGTGTTTAGGTGCACTAAAAATTAAGTATTTCCTTTGATGGTCATTATGCATAATTTGAATAACTTTGCCATTGTACACAGTTTGAATAACTTTGTCATTGTACATAGTTTGGATGGCCTTGTCATTGTACATAGACCACACAGTTGTTCCCACACAAAAGACCACTCAGTTGCTTTTTGCGAACGTTACTTACATTCTTTCCCTTGAACACAGACCTACATGCCTTATTCACCCTAAACGGGATCTCAGAACAATAACATTCTTCCCCCTTTCAAATCAGCATTCTCATCATTTTGAATAGTCTCTCTCCTCTGCCATTCGATGAATCTTCCAGGACCCATCCTCTCCCCACCCCTGCCTTTTCTGCAATTTTATTCAAAGGCGGACACGACTCCACCTGAGTCGCAATAACGAACTCTGACGTATTTCCTCTTCAGCATGAATTGATTTTCCTTGGCATTCTGCCAGATACAGATCCCATCAGTTTGGGTACAAGTATGTGTTGGATAGTTTTTAAATAAGAAGGGAGTGGAAAATTTTTGAAAATGGCACCTAAATGGCACAGAAGCTATACTGCTGGTTTTAAGTTTAATGTAATTTCACGTGCTGAACAAATTGGAAATAGAGCAGCAGCTCGAGAGTTTGAAAGTGGATGAGACGATGCATTCGACGTTGGAGAACTGAAAAAGAACTTAAAAATATGTCACAACAGAATAGAAAAAGCCAAAAGAAGTGGTACTGTAAGGTAGGCAAATCTAGAGGATAACCTTGGCAAGCCAAATAAAGGAGCAACGAGGAAAGGGAATGGCAATTTCAACTATAAAAATTCGCTTACAAGCAAAATTTATGGCAAAACAAATGAACATAAATGATTTCAAAAGAGGGCCTTGCTGATGTAGCAAGATTTATGAAAAGAAAAAATATTTCTATGTATACTAGATTAACAGTCAGACAACAATGGACCAATGATTACCAATGGACTGGCAGGATAAAAAAGGCATTCTTTTCTAAAATATGTGACAGATATTATTGACCAGTAAAAAAACTTCTTCCGATCACAGATAATAAATATGGATTAAAACGCCTGTTAGCTTTCGACTCTTCTGCAAACAGAACTGTTGATGAAAGCTGGTGTAAAAACTGTATCTGTGCTTACGACGGGGCATGAAAGAAACGTTCATTTACATGTGTATGTTAGCTTGTGCCGCAAACGGTGACAAGCTAAAGTCAATGATTAATTTTTAAAAGAAAAACTATTCCGAAGGGAGATTTTTCTAATGATGTAATTATTTGTGCAAACGAGAATGGATGGATGTGCGAAACAATCATGCATGAGTGGCTACAAAAAAGTTTGGCAGTGTTCGTAAGGGATCTTTTTTCCAACCAAAAGGATTATTGATAATGGATTCCATGCGTGCTCATTTACTTGAGTCAGTGAAAACCAGATGTCAAAAAAAAAACCAATTCCTGGTGGCCAAAAATCTTACAACTATTAGATTTGTCAGGTAATAAATCCTTCAAAAAATTAAGACACAATAACACGCCGAATAAATACCAATTCTGAAGTCTAACAACAAAAATCAGCATGAAAATATAACACTGATTTTTGTTGTTTGACTTCGGAATTAGTAAATCCTTCAAAGTTGAAGTCTGAAGGCGGTGGAGTGTTGAATGAGTGAAGGATTGCATACGTATACCAAAAGCGGTAAAATGCATAAAGCATCTTTGGAAGAAGTTGCAAGTGGGGTAGGAAGTGCGGAAATCGGTAAACATCGTGAATAATAGCAGGGTTCAAAAAGCTGAAATATATCATTAGATAAAGAGACTGAACCAAGAGATGAATGTGATGATCTGGAAGACTTGGACTTGGATCAGGATTTACTAAATTTTTAATTCAGATAGTGAAGAATCAGATTTTGATGGCTTCATATGATGTATAGTTTGCTGTAATTCCTTTTGTAAGTAAAATTTAAATTTCCTTTGTCATCCAAATTTAATATTTTCGTTGTTGCAACATTTTTATAATATAGTCTGAGTATTACAATATGACTCTTTAGTGGGTAAATATAAGTATATTCGTTGAACGTAAATATATTTTCTACATTTCTTACCTTTAATTTATTTTTGAGTTACGGTTTCATTTCATGCATTTTTCTTAACTGATATGTCATATATCAGGACATAGGTTGAGATTTTTCAACTACACAGCCCACGACGATGTCACATGCAATTTAATCTATTGCGGCGTTTACGCAGATGCGGTGCTTTTGTATAATTTTAATTTTTTCCCCACCATTTCTGTCGAGTGCGCCGTTTACGCTGATGCGGCCTTTCTTCCAGAAATTACGGTATAGCTTTTCCATGATGGCACCACCATGTGTCACCAAAGCAGTAAGCATGTTGAACAATTACTCTAACTATCCAGTCAGTCGAGATCCCTAATTGACCTTTAAAAAGGCTTTGAATAAAATGTTCTGAGAATACAGGAAAAGGGCATGTAGCTTCTATATTTACAGTAAACAAGGAGAATATAGATATACAGATGGAATACAAATATCCAGTCTTAAGCCAAAATTTCCACAGAATAAAAAGCTTATATAAAAAGAAAAAATGCAGTTGAAAATAAAACAGATAGAACAGCAGATAAAAGTAAAGTGACTTGTCTCCAAAGGACATTAAAATAACACTAATAAATGGATGTTGTTGAAACTTATTTCATTCCTCTACATTACGAGTGAAGCAGAATATCTGCAAACTAAAATCTGTAACGAAAAAGATCTCCCCCCCCCAGAAAAAAAAATTAAATATTCTCCTAGTTAATTTTCTTTAATACAGAAATAAATCACTCACCAGAAACAAAAAAGAAGAGCTATTTTTTTTTTATCTTAACCTGTTAAGTACTATCATATTCATCAATGTGTGCTCTCCCATGTTAGAGTGAGTACATTTAGTAGAATTGGAAGATCTGCGATTAAAATCCTGAAGAAGGTACAATTGATTTTTTCATGTTTCATGGTTTGAAATATTTAACACTTTCAGCAGTGGCAATCAAACTTTAAGCATATATTACATTAGCAGTGTTTTAAGGAATGGATACAGAAATATGATAATAAACTGTGGAATAATATTTATGCTCTAACTGAAAAGTGCTCAGCAACAAATATAGTCTTCCTAAAGCATATTATCTCACTGTCTTTCCAACAGCCCCACATGTCAACTCCACTCTTCTTTGCAATATTGTTTGTAATGCAAATTAAGAGTGCACACAAGAATGCTGTTAGCACAAATTTCTAATGCCCATTGTTTATAATCTCAAATGGTTTTGAAAACTTGAAAAAATTTCTATCTGTTTTGAATTTTTATGAACTTTTCTTGTACTAATTTGTATGAGCAATGACAGTTTGGAATCAACAGTTCAAAATTTATTTTTAAAATACTGGTACATAGCTCAATATTACAGGAATGCAAATTTAAAAATAATGAAATTCATTTTCATTCTTTTTTTCAGCATTTAATTTATATCTAAATTTATTTTTGGCACTTAAGTTTACAGCATACAAATATTACTCCTCTTTAGTGTATTAATTTACCTTTTCTTATAACCTAAAAAATTTAGAAAAATGTGCTTCAGAATTACTCAACAAATTTTCATTAAGTAAATACAATTTCTATAGCATGGATATGTAATAAAGCTCACTTTTTTTGGTCCCCAACAAATTACCAGCAACCAGTGTGTCGGATGTCTCACTATGAGAAGGGAAGTTCGATATGTCAGTAGTAGGAGACTGCAATTCTGGACTAAGGCTAACTTCTGGCACCAACGATGACCGAGATTCAGGAGTAGGCCGCTCTGAAATGGGCGATGAGCAAGGTGACATGGCAGGAGATGCGACTGGATGAGGGGATGGGCAAGGAGAACTGTCTGCACTAGCACCACCTTCAATGGTAGGTAAGGTTACTTGCAATGTATTTTTTAATGATGCACCCACACTTTGACCCATTGCAGGTCCCCATGGATTCCACAAAGTTTCAGGTCGTAATGGTCTGTCATCTTCATGAACTCCAGAAGGAGGTACCTCTGAGATGTTCATTGAATCAGTTGGTTTTGAAAGCACTTTTTCAGGTGAAACAGGAGTAGATTCTAGAGATGCTGTTTTGTAGTCACTGCAATCTCTCTCTTGAGTTTGGGCATTTTGTTCATCAACAGCTAAAAAATAACATGTTAATTAAAATTTTGCTAAAAACCTTTTCCCTAAAAAACAAATCAATTAATTTAGTCATAGCATTCACTCCTAAAAAACCTCCAAAAAATTTAATGGATAAAACATGCAGAATATTTTGTACATTTACAAGGTAATGATATATGAATAGAAAGGAATTGAAGATGACAGAAATTTAAATAAAGCATTTACTTATTGCACAAATGGCTTGGCTTAAAAAAAAGCCACTTCTGGCTTAGAGAGTCTTATCTTAATTAATTAGACTGACCTAGAAAGAAATTAAAATAATTTCTGTTAAATCGATAAAAACTAAGCATGTATATATATATTTTGCAGTTTTAGGCTACTTGATCACTGGCCAGCCAGTAAGAACAGATATCAGACATGTGTTGATTTTTCCCGTTAAATTCTATGTAACATATCTCACTTCAAACCTAAAATTTCTGAAGAACACAAAACCTTGTCTAAAACTTAAAGGTTTATTCAACTAGAACTTCAAAATGATGAAACTTACATCATTAATGAACTTAACATCTTAGGGAAACATTCAAAATGCTTTAAACTGGCAGATATTCCGCACGGGTGACGAACACTTTCTTTAAAAAGACAAAAATCCATCTGGCCCTTTCGACATACATCTCCATTTTAGTTTTGCTGGATTCAAACTTCAGCTCCTACATGTTTTGGACTTAAACGGCCGGACTGGAACTGGAACAAGACCGGAACAGGACTGGAACCGGAACAAGACGGGAACCGGAACCTATCATCCCCTGGCTTCTTTCCCGGGCTTCTCTGGCTCGAACTGAAAATGAACTGTGCCGCTACCAAGGAAAGCACCTCCTTTTATTGACGGCGGTTGCCATTACTACAGGCGATTATGCAAAATATTTAACACATGTGATAAAAAAAGATTACAAAATGGATGACATTACTCAATTTTATGTAAAAATATTTTCTTGCCATACCATTTACGATATGAAAAACAGATATTACTCTAGAAAAGATTCCCCTTTCGTTGAAAAGTGCCAAAGAACCCAGAATCATGAAGCAAAGATACCATACACAAGCATTTTTACCCATTTTTCTCTGCAAGTATTTTTAAGATAATATGGTAACAAAAAAATAATGAATATTAAAAGGAAACCTAGTAATTAATTTTCTATGTTAAAGATCACATGTTTCAGTTAAAAGTATGATGAAAACTAAACAAAAGTCCTATTTTAATTCACATAAAAATTTGTTTCATTTTCACCCTCTGGAGTTTTATGCAATTCATTAATGGGAAAAGTACCCTTATGTCAATCTACAGCTGTGTATGTTTGATCTACAGCTGTGCTGGGAGAGACCTTTATGACACTAGAGAATTCAATCAGGTAAATGAGGCTTTGAGTAAATGTGGAAGAAACTAAATACAGTACAAAGTCTGTAATCCGGATGTCCATTATCTGGAATGATCTATAATCCAGACCTCAAAGCCACAAACTTTTTTTTGGTATGCTTTATGCATGCACATTTAATGTATAACGGACGGTATAAGCTAAGCTAAAATTAACTTTACTGATTCTAAGGCATTTCAGTTAATGTTGCAGATTGTGCTGTTCCTTAATCTTCTAACTGGATCCGGCTTATTATTTTTTGCAGAATGTTAAAGCAATTCTATAAAAATTAAGCTTGAACTTCGAATTATGTCAAAAGAGTTTCCAATTCTGGAGCTGCAAAGGATCTACAAGCAAAGGCATTTCGATGTCCATCAAACAAAAAGAGGAATTGCTGCAAAAATGGATAAGGCATATCCGTCTCAAAATGCGCGGAGTACGACACTTGAAGTCAACTGTGTATGAAATAACATAAAGAAAAAGGAACTTTTTGAATTTTTTGTGGATTCGACACCCCCTTGTAATGAATAACAGAAAAGGGTTTGTTATGCTAAAGTGACGATCATGACAAAGTGATGATTGAATGGGTCAGACGTGTTGCAGCGAGGGCGTGCCATTGACGGGTCCAATGCTAATGGCTCAAGCCAACTATTTATGAAGAATGAACTTAAACTGTGCACATATTCGACAGGTTGGTTAACTAAATTTAAAAATTGCCATGGTATAAAGACATTAAAATTTCAGGTGAAAAAGCTCCAGCTGATACTGAAGCTGCTGCATAATTTGCAGATGATTCCGTGAACTCATTACTAGTGAACAATTATCTCCAGAACAAATTTACCAACGCTGATGAAACTGGTCTTTTCTAGCAATATTACATGAAATACCTTGGCAACCTCTACAAAAAAGCTCCAACTGGTGTCATGATTCCAAAGTTGAGACAACAATTTTGGTGCACAATGCTGCAGGAATGCACAAGTGCAAACTTTTTGTAATCGGAAACATGCACGACCTCGAGCACTTAGGAGTAACAATTTTTCCATTATATGTTCAATAAAAGAGCAGGATGACCAAGCATTGATGAATTGCTTTGAATCATTTTATACCTGAGCTCGGTGACATTTAATTCGGTTGGTTTTTACTGATGACTCAAAAATCGTCCTGATTGACAACTGTTTGACTCATTTCACTTAAAGTTCTAATGAAGATAATGTATCTGCTTATTCTTCTCTCCAAATTGAGTCTATCATTCAGCCTGGATATGAAAATAGTGCAAGGTTGAAATGCAAATATAAGGTAGCATTTAAAAATTATGTTAATTTCTTGCACAACTCAAACTATTCAAGACGTTTTGAAATTTTTTAGCATAAAATCTGCTGGGGAGCTCCAAATCGTGGGAGATGTGCTCAATTTAAAAAATGCTTGGGATAATTTATGGCCAGTTACCATATCTCATGGTGAGGATATCCCGAATTTGAGGTTTTCGACATCAAACTAAGGTTAAATTTTCCAGTTATTGGATTTGTAAAGAAATGTGGAGAAGCAGTATAAATAATGATGCTTAACAGAAGTTTTTCATTGTGACAACAATGCCTCAATCATCAATCAATTTACAGACGGCGAAATCTGTAGTATGGTTCTAGATCAAGGAAAATACCGCTTTCGATAGTGACAAAGAGGTTATTGAAAATGAAAAAATTTCGATTGACAAGTTAGTCAGTATTCTCGACACAGCAATTACAGGACTTGAACAGTGGAACTTTGTAACCGAACAAGAAATTATGTCGGTTTGACGAGAATTAAAGAAAAAGTATTAGCACAGAAAACAAAGCAACTTGAACAACTTATGTTGAAAGAAATGTTTAATAAAGTAAACAATTTTTTTTTTTTTTAAATTTTGATACACTTTAGATCATAATTGCTCTTTATTTCATAAATTATGGTTTCATATTTTTAATTGCATAATTTCTGCATGCCATCTTACCAGATTTAAATTGATGATCTACAAGCCAGAATCGCCCGACGAGTCCGGATTACAGACTTTGTACTGTAACAGTTTTTTGGGGGGGCAAAAAAAGTCAGGATAACAATGAAGAAAATTCACAAGATAACTATACTTTATTAGAAGAAAATACCCTTTATAACTACTAGATATGCATGGAGATTACAGTTGCTCCTAAGAAGGGAGGTCACGATGTTCTAAAGTGAAACCATGCATTAACTGAGACAGAGATCATTAAGCTATGTAAGATAGTTTGCTTTAAAAGGCTTTGCTTGATCAAATAAAAAAAGTCCAATGTGAATATCATGACTTCCTTCTATTAAATTTATACACTTTTCCAGCACTTTACTTAAATTCATTTCCTCGGATTATTCTAACTTAATTATGCCATCTCTGTCAAGGTAAGTTGAAAATGACACCAAAAACTGCAAATTTTGAAACTAAATATCCCAGTCAATTTTTTTTTTATATGGGAGTCAAACCTCTGTTGTATTTTTATTTTTTCATAATGACTATACAATTTTCCCAAATATAAGTACAGGAAACAGGAGACTGCATTAAAAGTTAGATTTCATTATTTGTCCAAAATTAAAATTTAAAAAAATTATATTGTTAAAACATGAATATGTTCACCATTTAAAATACTGCTGTAATTGAAAGTATATGACTATGACTACTGAATCTGAAAATAAAGCCCAGGTAAGAACTTTTAAGCCTGGTAAGAAGGTATGTGTGTGTGTGTATATATATATATATACGTTTGAGTCTGTTGATTGCAATAAAAGAGGGAGATACACAACTAGATGTTATAACAGTACCATAAACAAATTAATGGCCAACATTCTACAGCTAATAAAATTTACGGCCAACATTCTACAGCTGATCGTTTTGAGTTATGTGGAATAAATACATACACACATATGTATGTACAGACATCATGAAAAACCCCTTTTATATGCATTTTATAACCCATTTAAAAAAAAAAAAACTGTTTCTTATTCTGTCCTTACCTAAGACATCATGCAAAAAATTATCCAAATGGATTCAGGAACAATCAAAATGGATATTTTCGTAGAAATATGACACCCAAAATTTGCCTTGATCACAATACTTCCTTTACTTCATAGAAGGAAGTAATAAAATAAGGGTACCCAATGTAAGGATGTTAAGCACAATTTATGCTATATTATGATAGCATGGGCATCTTATTACCATTACAGATTAAAACTTAAAATAACTTTACAGCTTTTATTTTTAAATTGGCTTTACACAAAGTCGTAAACTGCAGCTTTCTATGAATAATGACAGAAATACCATTAATAACTTATAAGTATTTAATATTACTACACATTTTATTAATAAGACAACTGCTGATGAATTACATCAGTTAGAATATTCCCTTTCGCTAAACTGTATGTTAATCTTCATTTAATCATTCTCTCATACTATAATTTATACTCTGTTGGAAAAAATCAATTATATAAACTAAAAAAAAGAAAAAGTTATTATATAAAAAAGTATAGAAACAAATAAATAAAAATGTAAACAAATAACCTCTCTCTGCATGTTCTATTATTTGACGGACAGCTTTCTTCAAACTGTTGGCACGTGACATTAGTGCTTCACGCTGAATGAAAGTAGTCTGAAATGGAAACAGACATGAATGATTATGTTGTAAAAACCAATTAAGATTTAGCTGAGAGGTAAAAAATATACTTTGGTACTTTTGATTATCTATACCCAAAGTAGTGATATTAATATTCATGAGGTAAAGCAGTATGTTGCCAAAATAATTATGAGAGAACCCATAAATTCATACAAAACTATTTATGTGGCAACCAATTTTGACTGGTGCACAATGTGGAAGTTGTAGAGTTGAGTCTATGCAATTCTCTGATGTATTTTTAAGCAAAAACAGATCCCTGTGTACATACGAAGAATAGCAGTGCAAATAAGAATTTCTTGAAATAGGTAAGTGCTTTCTTGTAAATATTGATGCATCTTGCACTTTTAATTTGGCTGACCGATTGCTCTTTTATAGAATTCTTAGTGCTCCACCACTTTGAAAATAATTGTTGGCAAAAAATTAATCAGCAGTGAGTATGTGCTGCTCCTCAAAGTTGGCATGCTATTTGTAATATTTCAGTGAGGTGTATGGATAATCAGAAAGTCCTACATTTATGTGTCTATGTATTTTGTTCAATTCAATTTAATATAAAATATTATCTAAAATTATCTTTCACATATGGCAAAGATTTTATTTTATATCATATTTCAAAGATTCTATATAGCAAAAACTTTAATATACACTTTGTTAAGAATATCAGAAAGTCATAATTATCCCATAACTTGCAACCGATTTATATTTTGCTGCATCATATTCTAATTAATCCTTTCTCTGATTTGCCCGAGTTTGCCTGGGAATAACGGCAACAAAAAATATTTGTTCAGCTTGTATTATAATATTAAAAATTTGTTACATAACACACAGAATTAGTTTCCAGGATTTTATCTATATTAATAGTGCTATAGAAAGCAAATGTTAGTATAGAAGACACTGTAAGTGCACTACAAAGCAAAAACTATCAAACAGCAAAAAGGGTGATTAATTATTGGAATAAACTTTTAGATTGTATTTAAATAAATCATAGAAAATAAATCAATTAACATATAGAATGAGAAAAATACATTTTTCAAACATGGAAAATAATGCAATAGTTAATAACCTTTTTTGGTTGACTCTGAGGCATATCAGCTTCTGAAGCAACTATTTCAGGATTTTCAACTTTTTCTTCTGTTTCTTTCTCCTTTTTTATTTCAAGCAACTTATCAGATGCAAGGGATTCTTCGTTTAATGCTAGAAGCAGCTTTTCTAATTTTTCATTGAGTATTTCACACTAAAATTAAAAGCACATTTTAAAATAGAAGAAATATTAAAAATCAACAGATTAATACAAGATACAGATAACATTAAACATCAACTAACTACAAGTACAATAAGTTATTAATTTCTTTCTTCATTTCAGCAATTACAAATAAACTTTTTAGGTTTTTATAGTTTTTTTTTAAAGACATTAATGAAATAGTTGGTTAACATTACACTTTTCAGAAGGGAAAAAAATGAATTTTCAACATATTGTTTTTGAAAACTAAGTTTTTTTTTTTTTTTTTTTTTTTTTTATAATTTCAAATTATTATTTAAAGAAAAATGTCATTTATGCCATTTATTGAAGATTTTAATTTAGAAGATTTTAATTCTCCTAAACAATTTTAGAAAGACGTTTTTCAGAACAATTCTGTTTTTGGTAATAAAAGTATACCAAAGTTTAATTGCATATAATGGTAGAATATGAAAAACTTAACTACGAAGAATAAAAAGCATTATCTCAAAAATAAGTACATCCTATTTCAATTTCTCAACTACCAGAAACGAATATTATGTTTTTTAAAAATAAATGTAAAGAATATAATCTTGAAAATTATCCAAAATAATATGCTATAAGAAGGGAACCTTCCTTCATAGCTATTAAGTGCTTTATAACACAAATGAATGAAACTTATCAATTATTTAAGCTACCATATATTTAATGCCTAGTAATCGTTAATTTTACATGTAAAAATATTAACAGAAAAAAATTTCAAGATGGTCAAGATATACCCAGAAATGGAATGAAATACTTAAATAGACCAGAAAAAATGTTAAATTAATTCAACTTATGAATTTCTGAAAAGCAGATGGTATTAAGTCAGATTTCATTTTTAAGTTACAATTTAAACGCAATGCATTAAAATCTTTTACTCATATAGCAAAGTGAAAAATGCAGACTAAAATAAATGGTTTTCATTTGATGTTTATTAGAAATAAGGTGCTAAACGAATTTTTTAGTATGTTAAGTAATATGTAGGAAAAGTGACCTATTATTTTTCATGAAAGATACCATGTATTTTCAAAAGAATAAAGATTTCATTTAATAATACAGTAATTCCTATATTTTATAGTCAGTTCAGTTGAGTCGAGAGATTTATCCTTATTTAGTTGAATTTGTATTCATTCTTCTGTACCTGGTAATGGTTCGATTTTTTAATGTCATAACACAATAAATAGACCATAAGAGCATAAAAATTTTTTTTGTAAGAAATATCAGTGAAAAAAGTTCCAAACCATGGCATTATTTCAAAATTTCCTCATAACATAAAAATACGAGATGCGATTATGAGTTAATAAATAATTCTAATAATGGAAAGTCTATTAATAAAAAATTAATCTTTAGTTTCAACAACTGCAAGAGATAAATATAATTAATGTATATTAGTAATAAATGCAATATTTCCATTCTTTTACAGAAAAATCATTTATAATGTATGCAGAAACACATATAAAATTAAAAATACAGAAAAATATAAATATAAAAGTAGTCATGCTATTTTAGATTTGGCTTATTTAAAAAACCATATTAACTGTAAGATGTCCCAAGTCAATTACTTCCATACCTGATAAGTTCCAGTTGGAAGAATATAATCAGTAAAAATTGTTGATGTTTTTTTAGGCTTTAATACTACTTCATTATTCTTTGTTTTGTAAACTATTTGTTTAGCATTTTAATATCATTTAAAAATAATATATAAAACTTTCAAAAATTCAAGAGTTCAGGCTAAAAGTTTTATTTGAACATGGATGAAAACTAAAAGAGTCAATGTTCCAGAGTGATTCAGTTTGGGCGAACAAAGACTTTAAGCATATTGGGGAAAATTTACACGTAAAATATGAAGATGAGTTTTTACACTTAAGCTGAAATCTATGATATAAGAAATGTGCTAGATTTGTTCTAATACAGCTAAACCCAAACACTAAACTATGCAAATCTTCAAATGCTGACAATGAAAACAAAGTGTACACAGAAATAAGTATCAATCCTTAATTTATTTACATGACCTGATACTGCAAATTCCATTAGACTTAGTAAATTTAACAATAATCCAAAATACTTTCACTGGTTTCATGCAAAACATGAACTACAATACCTTAAATCTACATTAAACATGAATACAACTTATTGGGGAAAAAAATGAAAGTTTTAACGATTATGCAGACACGAATTGGGCCAAAAATACTCTCAATAGGAAATCATTTAGGGGCTATGGTTTCATATTAGCAGGAAGCCCAATTTCTTGCAAATCATGCAAGCAAAGAACCTTAGCGTTATCAAGTACTGAAGCATTAACTGAAGCTTAAAAAAAAAAAAAAAAAGAGTAATGCACTTAAGGTTGTTGATAAGACAGCTAGGATTTTTGGAGAATAAAGTAGTATCAAAAGGACTGTATAATGACAATCAAAAAGCACAGCATTTGGTGAAAAATCCAGTTCATCACTCTCAAATAAAATATACTGGTTATCATTTTCATTACATTAGAGACCTATATGATCAAAACTAGAGTGACATTGTATGCCCACAGATATTTTAACAAAGAATCTTGAAAGGGCCAAACATGTAAAATTTATGAATCTTTAATTAATGAATTATGATCTTTAATTAATGAATGCTTTTTGCTATTTTAATTCTCTTTTCAGCTGTGCAAGGAAGAGCGTTGGGAAATTTGCGTTCCCCCTTGCATCTGCATAATGCTGAAGAGGTGAACGTTCCGTGCTATATAAACATGTGGCAGAAGCCAAGAAATGTGTGAAGACTGTGTATCCTCCGAAACTGCCTATATGGGGTGCGTGTCGTCCTGGTTACTGAAGTGGCCAGTAGCCATGATTCTCTCCAGTGTAGCGATGTACTGCATGGAATCCTGACATGGAATATAGTTGTTGAAGACTAGAATAGGAATCTAACAGAGTGCCCAGACAGCATTTATATAAGTATGCCATGGAATTGCTACCAAGTACCTGCAAAACAAAATGAATTGCTAAAGTACAGCTGATATAATGCAGGACTTTACACCAATCAAGTTAATCACCTTCTATTCATATTATGCTTTTTCCTCACATGTCATAAATTGACATACCATATTCACCTGTTTTTTAAAGCTCAAGGAAAGTACCCATTAAAATTTATCTTTCACTTACATCAAGTATGCTCCTTTGGTAGGCAAGTATGTTTTACACTATGCAAATACTCTCAAATATGGGGGGGGGACAGGAATTAAATATGTGAACCAAACGTGAAATTAAATTACCCTTTCTAACACAAATGCACAATTATGAATAAACTGATTTTAATTACATTTTTAAGCTTAATCAGTTTAAATAAATAATGCAAGTAACTTAGTAAAAATAGTAAGATATTTCATACATTTTCATAAAATGTAGTAGGTGAAAGATTGACTCTTCATGAAATTATTTTTACTACTACATGTAACAACACTCAGCATTTGTATGAACATAAATGCATAACAATTATCAAATAAAAAAATTTCATGAATCAAGCTAAAGTACTTCATTAGAGAACAACACTCATTTGTGTAAAAAAAAGAAAACTAACTTTATGGCTTATGGTATCTTCTTCGTCAATGTTTTCTTTAGAACATGCAACACCAACTTTGGCAATAAAATTTTTAACTGTTTCACACAAAACTCTGAAAATGGAAGCATTTAAAAAGTAAGTGCAATGCAACCTACAAAAATTGACATATGTGATACCATCATTTTTAATTTGAATATTTTGTTTAAAACAGTAAGAACATTAATTTTCAACAAACTGTTTTTGAATCGAAATCAGAAGTACAATGCATTTGAGATTTGATGCAATTAATAATGAAAAATATCATGTGGAAACTTTAAGATATCATATATATAAAAAGCAAACATATAGAGAGCAACGATGTATCATAGGTGCATCCATTAAGGCTTTGATTTTTTTTTTTTTTTTTTCTTTTTTTTTTCAGTTGCATCTCTACCTTTTGTAAGGTAAAGCATCAACAGAGTGCACCAGCATTAACTCATTGCACACCACCTTCACACTTATATAAGTGAAACTTATTTTCATCCATGATGGGTGACAAATTAATGCAATTTTTATAGAATAATTTAATACTTCCTGATTATCCACATTGAAAAGTTGCAAAAGAGCATTCATGAGGAAAATCAGTATGTTGCCAAAATAGTTGTGGCAATTCATGATACTTCTGAAAAGTACTTTGTGGCAACATTGGTATGTGGCATAGTACATGTCTGTCTTGAACAATGTCCAATATCAAGGTTGTAGAGTGCACAATTCTCTGACTTTTTTAAGCGGAAATAGATCACTATGTACATGGGAAGAAAATTAGGGGGGGGGGAGAAAGGGAAAAGAAAAAAAAATATTTTATTATTGATGTACTTTGTTTTTTTAATTTTATTGATTAATTGCTCTAGCATAGTATTCTTAATGCACCTACATTTTGAAAATTGCTGTTACATTTTGCACATTAGCTGGAGGAAAAATTACCCACTAATGAATTTCCAAATCTTTTTAAAGTTGCCAAACAAGTTCGTAACTTTTCAACGAGGATGTGAATGATCAGAAAGTAAAAAGAATTTTTGCAGTTTTTCCTTAACCTTTTCACATAAAAAGCAAGAGCCAATGAAGAATAAAAAAATTCAAAATTAGCTTCTAAAGAAAGTTTTATATATGAAAAATAAACAATTCAAAATAATTTGGCTGCAAGATACATGATTATAGTCAGAAATAAGAAACAGAAAATTTATGAATAACTCCATTACAATTAATAATAATGCAACATACTTGGCAGATGAAATAACAACTGAATGTTGATCTGAATGAAGAATTTTTGTTAGATGAGTGACGACAGAATCTTCATATTGACTGATGGGCTCAAGCTGCAGTAATAAATTTAAAAAAAAATTGTAGTTGTATAAAAATAATTCATTGTAATAGTTCATAAAATAAATTATTTAAATATATTCCACTCTCAATTAATCCACAATCTTTGATTACACACACCGTTCATACCATCATTATGCAAAGACACTATATACTCTCATTATATAAGAAGAAAGAAGCAGGAAAAAATCTGATGAAAACTAATACAAAGAAAAACCATTTAAGGTAATGCATTACAATGATTAAATATGGAGGATAAGAAAGAAGTAGAAGCTCTTTTGACGTGATATAAGCAGCACTTCTTTGTGAAACAAATTCAGTTAGCATTTGGATATTGTCTTGAGATATAGCTGTTTTCCCCACTGTCCACAGTTCGTTCTACATCTGAAGTTGGGGCAGTATAGTCAAACAGCAGTCAACTACATCTTACAGACACTTGACTGGAAAGTGATTTGGAGGTACAATGACCAAAGTAGCAGCTGGAAACTTTGCAAAACAGCATACTGCAAACTCTGAAATGTGCAGGAATGTGAACTGTGGCATCTTTCATCCTCTAATCAGCATGCCATCAATATACCCTGTATACTAGCTACTGATGCCTGATTATTGATGCTAATGGCACCAAACCATGATGCCATGTTCACGAGCAGTACGGCTTTAAAAAATAACAGTAGTATTCGATCTGCCTGTAATTTTGTTACCGGATTCACTTGGTGACTCTCAGTACAAAGCAGAAATACTATTAATCTCTAACACTACTTTGTGCTATTCATTACATGAACAGCTTCTATCTCAATGCTATTGCAGTCTTTCATATTTGGTAGGCTGGTGTTAATATTCTTCTTGGCTTGATTGCAAATAGTTTTGACCAAACTTCATGAAGTACTCTTTCTTGTACTGTAGTATCCAAAGCTCCCTGCACATTCTTCTGAATGTCAGCAGCAGGGAACTGAGAGCTTACTATTACATGTCTTATGAAATACTGATTAAAGTATTTTGATGTTCATCTAGATATACCTGTAGCCCCAAAACAAGGGACATTTTTTTTGAATCCATCATATCCAAATGCTTTACACAGTCAACATATGTTAGCGTTTGTATGACAAACCATCAGTACGTACATTAAAATAAAATTTCTTATTAAATCCTCAGTCTGACAAAAATTTCTTTACCAGTATTTTCCACATATCTTTTGCACTAAGTGTATATACAAGCCAATATCCCATAGAAAGTGCTTCATGAAGGCATCCATCCCCTAAGGAAAAAAGCCTTTGTTTGAACTGTTTATTCTTGAACCTCTTAATGTTAATTAAATAAACCAAACCTTTTGAATGGTCTATTCTGAAAGATAAATAACTCAGTAAATAGGTTTCTGTATGCAGAAAACAATGAATATATATTTAAATAACTTTTCTTCATTTTATATTATTCACTAATCATACGACAAACCTGGATTTTATATCATTTGCAAATATTGTGAAACCAAGCATTCCTTGCAATTAGCATAATAATGACAAATTTTTTTGTGGTGTGATATTTTCTCTGTTAGATAGTGCAATAAAACTCTGGTCAACTATACCTCCAAATTAACTGAAATGACGAAGGGGGCAGAGAACAGAAAAACTGAATTATGAATTCTAAAAACCAGTCACCTTTGGTCTTGTTTCAAATCCGTTCCCTTACTACTTCATTACTTAGAAGATATAAATATATACTTCCTGGTAGTAATCTCAGTGTAATACATGCAATAATAAATATTAAAATCTCTGTAAGATAATAAATATTAAAATCTCTGTAAAAAATGTCTTTTAATTATCTGATGTTTAATGATCTCTATGCAGTTCCTTAAAACACCAAAACGGAAGAATAAAAAATTTCAATAATTTATGTTTAAAAAAAATGGGGTACTTTGCCAAGTGAACTTTTGCAATTTATACGAGAAAATTTGTCAGTAAATAAAATTCACTTTTGCAGAATTCGAATTATTTTTTTACTCATTCTTATAATAGTTCACAATTTTCTCTTCATAACTCAGGCTTTTGCATATCGATTTATTTACAAAAGTTAAATATATTGAAAACAAAAGGTAAAAAATTCCTAACTGCACTGCTGATAACAAGAAACTGCTTTAAAAATCTTAAAAAAACATGAAAGTGATAAAGCTAAATATTGAAAAGTAAAATTCATGAAAGTTAAAAAGAAATTGAAAATAGAAAACTAAATTTTATTTACAATTATAAAATGTACCCTGGAATATAAAATTACAAGAAAAGATATTCACATGAGTGCGTGTGCGATGCATACATTGTGCCAATAGCTTGCACTAAAAAATTTATTTAAGATGCAAAGTAGAACTACTGAAATTCTAAATAAAACAGAAGTTCTATAGAAAACAAGTTTTGGGATAAATAGTTTAATTAAAGCAATTAATTATTTTACATTCATTAGTATTACTTTCTGGTAAGAAAATGTTAAGGAATACATAAAATGTGGCAGCACATTTTCTTGAGGATTAAAAGGATTCAGTTAAAATGTATACAACTCAGTAATATATGGGAAAATTCTAAAGCTTTTTTTTTTTTAATATATAGCTAAATTTATAATATGCTGGAGTTTAGTAATTAGAGAGTAACTAAATAGTATTGTACTAAAATATATTAATTAATTACCTGAGTTTGACTTTTTCTTGGTCCTAACATAGTTCCTTCATAAGTCATAATTCGCCACCTATAAAAAATATACATTTATAGCTGCTTTTAAGATGCGATATCATATATTATCTAAAATGTGCTATTCTAGACAATATATAATCTTGCACCACAATGAGAACACCACAACTACTGACATAGCATATGTACCACATAAAAATATTCTAAAAATATTGCAATCATATAAACAATTTCCAAAGATATTAACTAAAGAAAGAATATAATTAATTTTTTAAAGAGTTATATGACTGATTTCAAGGCACAATAATGAAAAATTAACAAATATGAAACATTGTTCATGGGGTGGATTTCATTATTTTATTTTATAAGCTGAAAATTGCATAATAATGCCATATATTTAACATAAACCTATATTCACTAAATTGATTTTTATGAGAAATCTTCTTGTAATAACACTACAAAATAAAAAGTACTCATAATAACCTGTCTAGACTTTTTACAGTAGCTTTCTCATACTTCTCCAGTAGTTGTGGAAGCTGAGCATCATCATCACATGAAGATCCCCATCCTAAAACACGTGCTAAATCATTCCCTGTTCCTAAAGGTAAAACACCTACTTGACACTGGAAAAGAAATTAAAATAAATTTATATAAAACCCTGTTTTGTAAAAAATTAAGTATCAGCAAATAAACATTTCTTAATTTAACAAGGTGTTTTTACTCTCTGAGCAATACTCAGCTGAAGTTTTTATAATAAGCTGAACTATATTTTTCCATCTTCAAGAGCCAAAACATTTGCATAAATGAACAAAGGAACAGTAAAATGATGAATTTAATTATATCTTTAAAATAAACTGATTTTCAGCTAGTTTTATTTTCACTAATATTACAGGTATGAGTTGAAGCAAAGACGGCACTTGCGCATCTGCAAAAGCTTATTAGGCACTGCCAGGTTTTATTAACTGCTAATCTTCAAGCCCAATCGGAATTCCAAAGGAAACGACCCTGGGATCTCCCACCTCTCTTTTCCTATCACCAACCTCTTACAAGGATTTTGGCTTGCTATGTATTTTGAGTGCCCACTTGCTGCACAGATACCGTATACAGTCAAAAGTCATTAATTCAGACACCCATAATCCGGAATGATCTATAATCCAGACCTCAAAGCTACAAACTTTCTGCGCATGCATCTCGTTGACGCGTAAGACCTTTATGGCTGCGAATATGCGTGTGCGCATGCGCGTTTAATGTATAACGAACGGTATAAGCTAAGCTAAAATTATTTAATTCAGTTAATGTTGCAGATTGCGTTGTTTCTTAATCTTCGAATTGGATCCGGCTTATCATTTTTTTGCAGACTGTTAGAGCAATTTTATAAAAGTAAGCTTGAACTTTCGATTATGTCAAATAGAATTTCCGATATATATAGACTAATACATAAAGGATCTACAAAGCGAATGTATGTTTCGAAGTCCATTAAACAAAAGTGGAATTGCTTCAAAAAATGACCTAACCATTCCGAAATCTGTTTATCAATTTCACGCTGCTCTGCGGCGGGAGGGGGGAAACGCCGCGGCGCGCAATGCATTGGAAGTTGATCTGTCAGCACTATCCTTATCTTCAGGGCAGATGTTTTCATTTTATTTGGCTTATTAATTCCTTACTAAATGTAGTATTTCATCTCGATGTATTCCGTCTTTGATATGATTTAAATCAAATTCCTCATCATTATATTTTGCTTCTGATAGTGAAGAAAGTGACACAGAGGTTATTGAACATGAAAAAACTTTGATTGACAAATTAGTCGATATTCTTGACACGGCAATTATAGGGCTTGAACAGCGGAACTTTGTAACTGAACAAGAAATTACGTCTGTTTATAGAATTAAAGAGAAAGTATTATCACATAAAACAAAGCAACTTAAACAACTTACATTGAAAGAAATGTTTAATAAACTAAACAAATAAATCTTAAGCTCTTTCTTTCTGTAAATTTTGACACCCTTTAGATCATAATTGTTCTTTATTTTATAAATTACGGTTTCATATTTTTAATTTTATAATTTCTGCATGCCATCTTACCATATTTAAACTGATGATCTATAATTCCGGAAAATCGATAATCTGGAATTCCCGACGAGTCTGGATTAATGACTTTTGACTGTACTTACAAAAATCCCTACCTTGTCTGGGATACGAATCTAGGCCCTTAGGCAGTCAGCATCACTAACTGCTATTCTGTATGGGCGGTTCCTTAGTAATATTACAGGTGTTCAAAAAGCATGAAGTTTGATGACAGAATTAACTAGCTCACACAATATATATACTGATTTTCAAGAAAAATATCAACAGCCACTCAAGTTGGACACACAGTCAATCATAATTCAAATACTTCTAAAATGCATTATGTTAGTTTTAAATACAAATGCATAACTTAAGGTCATATAGGTTACTAATAAAAATTAACTTGAACATTTATTAAATAAATATATATTAAATAAAATTATTACCTGATTATGCATACTGAGTTTATCAATTTCTGTCAAAACCCAACTGACGCTTCCATCACCACCACAAACCAAAATACGGAATGGATTAAACGTCCTAAACATTCTCAAGCTGCAATAAAATTTTTAAAAAGCAAATAAAAATAAATAAAGAGAAATTCATATTTTAATTGTTCAATTTTTGAAAAGAAAACACTCACTGAAAACATAAATGTGAAAAATTATTAATGTTTAAACAAACTACAACTATTAGTATCAATATTCAATTAAAGGGATGACAAATCTGATGAAATTTCACAAAAATATTTTATGTGAATAACAGCTAGCCAAGTCAAAATTTTCTATGTTAAGCAGTTTATAATACAAAAATTTCTTTTAAAAGAAGGAAACCACTTTATTGAAATAAAATTCCCAATGCTACAAAGTGATTTTAGATAATGAGAGCAACCTAAATTATTCAACACAATAAACTGCAAACGTTTTATAGCCACCTTCAAAAGGGTAAGCCATATATTTTGAAAATTTAAAATGAATTTGATATTCTGGTTGTTAATGGACAGAACACAAGCCACTAGAGGAATTTAAATTAATTTAAATTTTTACTGTTATCATGTATATGTTACCCATGTTAGATATGATGAGAAAAATCTTTCTACCCTCCCAATGCTCATAATATAAAAAAAATTAAGTATAATGTTTAGGTATTTTTCTGTTATGCACACTGTGGGAAGGGGGGAGGGAGGACAGTTCTATATCTCTCATTCTACTGGGCCGATTGACGAAATTCAACTTGCGTTTTTCATGTCTCGAAAGCGCGACTTAGGATATATATTAGATTTATATATAGCATTGTTCTAATATAGGTATTTTGACAAAAAATTGGACTTTTTCTGAAATTACATGCCTTTTTTTTTTCTATATTTTGATTCTACGACTAAAATTATGCCAAACTGCTAAATTTTGTAAAAATCGCATGAGTAGTTTTTAACCGCTTCCCTTAAAAATTTTTTTGACAAAAATTGCAAAAAATTATCACTTTTTTATTTTATTATTAAATAAAATGAAACAAAACAAATCAAAATATGTAGGTTTTAAGTTGAATTTTTAATTTTTTGAAAGTGTAAAAGCATTTAGTTATAATATTAGTTTACTATCCCGAGTTATCTCAGGCAAATGAAAAAAAGTTAGGCTCTAGTGTAGAATTGGGTGCCCCTTCGATTAGCAAAATTTTTAAAAAAATTTTGGTGATGAAACCTCATTTCTGGTTACCATGATAGTTTGAACTTTGTTTTAGCTTCCTGATTTTTTTTTTTTTTAAATGAAAATAGATTGATGTGTACATGGACAAATTTAAGGCAGTGCGCAATGCCTAGTTTGTGCAATTCTGGGATTTTTTTTAAAGTTAAAACAGATCAATGTGTACATAGACAAAGAGTTTGTGCAATTTTTTTACTTTTTATTTTGGTTTTGTGCAGCAGTCATCTTGAAATTGCAATTTCCTGGTGCCGATCTTGGCGTCAAAAAAGAATCGCAAAAAACAAGAGGCACCCAATTGTAAACTTTTACCAAAAGTTAAATATTACTCTTTGTATTATAGTTTTTGAAACAAGGGACAACACAAAGTGATACCTGACATTCTACACTGGTATATGGTCTCTTTTCTTACTGGCTTACCGCTGGAATCTCTTTAACAGGAGCACAGAGTACACAGTCTCGTTGAATTTGATTTTAAAAAAAAAAAAAAATTTCCACCTCTTCAGAATCACTATCTGAAAAATCATTGCTTTCGCTATCTTGCATCATGGCCATTATTCAGTGGCATAGCAAGAGAGAAGGAAGGGAGTGTATGATGCCCCGGGTGCCGCTCACAGAGGGGCAAACAAGATTTTCATCATATCACTGTGTTTTTCAGGGACGGGCACCAAAATGTTACTTTGCCATGGGTGCCAGTTATGCTCGCTACTCCACCGCCATTATTTTATTTTTTTCAATGTATGTATCCTTTTTTATACATTACTAATACACAAGCCGACATATACTATACAATAGGAAAACACATGACCAGTCCCTCCAAAAGAACTGTGCAACCAACACAATTTGGCAAACTGCCAATGAAAACTGAATATTTCCTTTCATTTCCTTCAGGCTAAGTAAAACTGTAACAAAATAAAGAATACTAACAAATTCTGCTTTGCCCGAGTTTTCATGGGATAATAGTTAACTGCAATATATACGAACCCAAGATAACTCGGGATAATCAGGCAAGTGGTTAAAAAATTAGCTGCCCCTTTTTCAGCTGCTAAATTTAAGAGGTGACAGGTGCACCTCATAATCTGCAAATCTGAATTTTCCTTTCCTAAGATGCCTGCAACACCAGTCTTCAAGACTACCAATACTGGTGCATTATCGGCACCAAGTGCTAAGCAATTATCCAGAGGGACCACATTTTCTTTTAAAGTTTTAATAATTAGCTGTGCTATAGTAAAGCCTGTCAAATGTCCTAAAGTGGGGACAGAAAGTAAACTGCACTCATTTTCTGAAGACTCTGGATTAAAAAAAGAAACACTAATTGGATACAGTTTTAAATCGGTATTATTGCTTCCATCCGTAGAGAGGCAGAACGGAGCTGTTTTAATGCGATCAATAACTGAAGATTTATTTTTCAAATCCATTTCTTTAACAATTGCACCTGTTTTGGTTCTTGCACTTGAGTATTTCATAGCGATTTCATTATCAGGAAACATTTTTCTAAATAAAGCTACAGCGTGATCTGATGTATTCAGTGGCAGGTTGTGCTCCAGTAAAAAGGCAGAGAACAGATATTCTGCATCAATAACTTTTTGGTTCTTTGCTTCCCAATAAAAATTAAATTTTTCGTTTTTTTCAAAACAACTCATTTTGTCCTTGTGTTTTTGTATACGCACATGTTTGAGAACATCCGCCCTTCCATCATGCGAAATCGAAAAATCGCAATAATAGGCGGTACACATTGCAAATTTATTACATTTCCTTGAGGAAATAATGGAAGGAAAGTCAACTGTGTACGATTTTTGAAACGTACATGAGTATTTCACCTTTTTCGCAGGACATAAGAAAAGATGATAATTTCTAAAACTATTTTCCAAAGGCACGTGCACTGAAGACAAAATGACCGATGTAACTAAAGAACATCCAAATAACAGCTTGCTTTGTCCTCATTGGTTAATATATGCCAGGTGACACGCAGTGGAGCACGATGCCCATTGGAGAACGACGTTTCTGGATATGTATATGCTCTCACTCACAAAGCAGAAGTTATCTAATTCACAAGGTTTTGTTTTAGATATAATCTAGAGAAAATTCAATTGCTTTCAGACGTCCAAAATCACATTTTTTTGTTCATATAAAAGAGTATTAAGCCAAATTCCATAAAAATCGTGAGAAATTTTAAAGAATAAGAAAAAGTCAGGAGAAATATATTGTAAATCGGGAGTCTCCCGCCTAAAACGGGAGAGTTGGCAACTCTGCCAAATTTATCAATGAATCGCCAAACATGCTCCTCCAAAATTCTAATTCTAAAATGGCAGTTGTAAAACAGACAAATTTTAGATGATTAAAATTAAGGACCTTCTGGCTGATTTTGGCCAAAGTTAAGGACATTTAAGGACCAAAAATCGATTCCAAAAGCCTAAGATCTTTCAAGGACTGTATGAACCCTGTAGTTTCTTCAGTGTGGAGGTATTTTATTTTGTGCTGAAGTTAAATTAAGCATTGGGAGTCCTACATGTTTTATTATGAAAAATATCAAATGCGCATGAGTAAAGCATACAAAAAAATTATATTAAAAGATAGTTGTTGGTGGTCTGGAGGTCAGGATTTTATATAATTCCAGATATTGGATGTTTAGACTTTGAACTTTTGCACTGCATAATTTGCCAGTGGGGGGGGGGGGACAAAAATAGTCAATCTATTAAAAAAATTAAGGTAATAGATATTTAACATCTTAGTTTAAAGCAGCATAAATAATGCTTGCAGAAAAAGATGAAAAAAATTTACCCTAAGCTTGGTCCCCCATTCATGAGATCAAAAACTTGTGCAGGATTGAGCAACTGTTTAAACCGTCGCAGAAATTTCACTCCCTGGTTGTCACCAGATTTTGAATTAACAAATACTAACAGAGGACTACAGCCAAGAGGACAAGTTGCTTCCCATGATTCATCATTTCCAATGCTATGAAGAGATGTTGGTGGGACTATGGATGCACGACAGACACCGAGTGGGCACTTTTCGGGATATTGGGCTTTACATGAAGAATGAACCTATAAAAAACATAAGAATAAACATAGAAAATTAATGATTTTTATAAAAAATCCAATAATCTGCTAAATGGCATGCATAAATATAGATATTTATTACCATTGCTCTACACCACAGACATTTCCAATCCTGTAGCCTTAGAACACTACCACATGTTTTATCACAGATACTACATTTTGCACTCACAGGCAAATTTCCTTCTAACCACTGATGAGGCATGGCTATGTTCTACACAAAATTAAAAAATACACATATAAAATTCAGAAGCATTTTAAAGAAATTTCATTAAAAAATCACAAAAGCACAGCAATAAAATTGAAGAAAAATTTTCAATTAAAAAAAGAAAAAGGAAAAAAAGAAAAGATTCAACTTCCCTTTTGAATACAATGCCTTGATAAATTTCATACATAAGTACTTACTATCAATTAAATTTGTTACGATATCAGGCATAATAAAAGAAGTACATTAAAATGTTAACATTTGAATAACTTACTACAGGCTATATCTCATATTACAATAGTTTTTATCATATAATAAGAGAAATTAAGCTAATTTAATATTATTTTATATTATCAGAGATGTAATTTCAAAATAACATTTATGGCTTCACAGAAGGGGCAACAATTATTTAGAAATATGGCATTTTATAGCAGTGTATTTTAAATGCATAGCAGTTAGAAGTAGCATTTTGGAGTTTAAAAACTGTAACATTTTACAGCCACATGAAACAAAAATTTGATAGTTTCAGTATGCATACTGAGAATTCATAATCTGGTCACTTTTAGTTGAGAAAAAAATGAAAAAAACATTCTGGCTCATTTGGGACCAGTTCCATAAATATTTAATGACAAGTTAAAAATGGGCCGAAAAGAAATTTTAAAATTGGTTGAGTGGTTAAAGTGGAAGTGAGTGGAAATCACCAAAATGAGGATCTTATCCCCTTATATGGCAAAAGAGGCAGAATCAGTCTTCTGAAAAAATCAAATTAGACAGCGAGCCTGGGGATGTCTCTGAAATTTAGTCTTGATCTGGTCAGCAATACAGACATTGCCTACCTTTGAAATTCCATCCCAATTCCATGTCAATAAGGCAGAAATAGCAAAAATTTAATCTTCAATATCTGCTGAATATTTAAATATTTTTAAGACTGAAATTTTGATACTTAAATTTCAAAGTTGTATTTATAAACCACAACAGTTATCAGGAGAGAAATTTTTACTTAAGTTTATAAGAAATTAATGTCAAAGCAAAGGGCGAGAAATGAGAATATAATCTCATAATGAAACATCATATGAAATAATACATTAGAAAATATACACATATGAAATTAAAGTCCCGGTTTCTTAGTTATTTGATATGTATGTGGATACAAAATTAGCATGGGATGCATCAAAACCAAAGAGACTCTACATATGTAACTGTATAAGTGAATAGTCAAGGCTGAAAAGGTTTTCCATTGAGCAGTTGTCAGTGTATTTAAACCAGAAAAAACCAAAGCCCATACATTACAAAAGAGCTAGTTTTTACGTTTGACAGAAAGAAAGGGAAGAGAAAATGGACGGTATAATATATGCACAGCTGAAAGACAAACCAAAATATATTTGTGTTTGATTATTGTTTTCCAAATCTTCTTGTACTATATAATGATGTATGTTTTTACAGATGTTATTTTGTTTTATTTTTTGTCACATGATCTGGTTTACACATCCCAAAGCTTGGATGGTACCTGTATACACGTAAACTATAACATGTGTATATATGCCATTCCTTAGTGTTTGTGTATTATTTGTAGATTTATAATTCATGCTTTCAGTGAACAACCTTTCTGCTATTCATTCCATCTTGCTATCAAATATCTGTAATGTTTTACAACTAAACTGTAGTTGGTACGGCTTACATTCCCTTTCCATTTTGGTCCTAATCTTATATACGAATAAAATGGTTTACAACACAGGATTTCAATTTTCCACAGTTACATTTACCGTAATGCCCTTTCTCTGATGTGAAATCTTTTCTTTTTAGATTTTCTTCACTCACACTTAATTTTAAAAACTAACATTTTTGTTAAGAGGAAAACTGACCAATTAGATTATAAAATTAATTACTTTAGCACTAAAATTGCTTCCTTTTTTTATACTTTGAAAGACATAAATTATTATGTCTTAACAATGGAATCATGCCATGGAATTGAAAAACAGAAAGAATTTAAACACAGCATTTACCATCAACATGCTGTAACATCTGAACACCCGTATTGAGTGAAAAGACAAGAGCAGTAGTCTTTTAAATATTTATTTTAAAAACTTAATAATAAGAATTTCTTGAATACTAATAAGTAAAATAATTAAATCATTACAGCCATAATACAAAACAATGGCTGCTGGATGTGGCAACGATGCTGGTTGCGTCTCCTTTCACTGCATAAAAAGCTCACACAAAAGACCCTCTCTTTCGTTTTGTTAAACGTCTTGTCAGAAATACCTTGGAATGGGGTAAGTTATGATGTTACTTGGTGCGGTTTCCAGAAACCGCACCATGGGTTTTTCTGCACAGGGCCGGATAAAGGGCTATTGGGCCCAATCGGGTCCTGCGTTATCATCAAAATGAACAATTTTTTTTTTTTTTTTTTTTTAAATTTAAAGCAAACTGCTTTTGATGATAATTGATACATTATGAATTATTCAAATAATTAAAAATATATTTATTTTAAGTTTGCATTGCTGGACGCTATTTATTAATGCGTTTATTATTATATAATATATACTTTATACTATAGAAAACTGATACCTGTAAAAGTTCATGTCAAATGTATTGAATTTAATCAGGATAGTCCTATATTAGAGAGATTTTGCCCTATGTACGTGAACTACTTTATGTACGTTAACTACTATGCAGGTATATGCACGCGCAACTAGTTGCGCAAGCGTACCAGCCAATGGTGGATGTATAGCTAGTATCAAATGTCAATTGTTTCTTGCATTTGTAGTTCGCTATTCTTCTAATTGTTATAATTATTAGAGTCGTATTTTGTGACTACAATACTAATTGTTCAATAAGGTAAGTACCAATTATATTACATAAGCTTTATTAACAAACAATCATTTTTAAAATTAAATATTTAAGTATATTATGTGATTAAAAATGGATACCTAACCTATAATTTTATCATTAGATGTCGAATCCACTGAAACGAGAAAGAGATGTGGGAAGAAAATACACAAGTGGTAGTCTAAAAAGGAAATTAAGTGCAAAAAGGAAAATGGAAAGTGAAAAACCTGGAGGTGCTTTAAACAAATTTTTAAAAAATAGATAAGGATGACAAAGGTGAAGAAGAAAGTACTGACAAACATGAAGAAGAAAATGACAAAAAATGAAGAAGTTGATGATAAAGATGAAGAAGATCAAGAACAAGTAAAAAAAATGAACAAGAAACACAATTACACAGACTGGAGCCGGAAAAAAAAGAAGCAAATATTGGAATGAAAATGGAGTAATGGAATATAACTGATGATCTCGCGTGTTGGCCCGAGATTATTACTAAAAAAATAAGAGATTATTTAGTTATAAAAGGTCCTGCAAAAATTACCTTAAATGAGTTTCCATGCAAAGAGGATGGAACACACTTTTCAAAAGAGCATCTGCATAGAAAGCTTACGGATGGTGAAATAATAAGCCATCCCTGGATAATATATTCTGAATCAGAAGACAGAATATATTTTCTGACTGAATAATTTCTGACTTAATACTGAATAGCCGACAATTTTTATTGTTGGCTATTCAGTATGGGTGTCTCAATTGCACTAGCCACTGTAGGATTTAATAACTGGCCAAATATATATAATATATAGCCACACATGAAAAATCACAAAATCATTTGGTAGCTATGTTAAAATGTACAGAACTTCAAAAAAGACTTTCTCTGCTAAGCAAACAATAGATAATGTTCAACCGAAATTGTTGAACCAAGAAAAAAAATTTGTTTGTATAAGATATTTGAAAGATTATTTCCTGTAGTTCAATTTTTAGCAGAATGTAATATCGTGTTTAGAGGATGCATCGAAAACCTAGGCGATGCACGAAATGGAAATTTTCTAGGTATACTTGAATTACTTAGAAAATTTGATCCAGTTATGCAGGATCATATACAAAGAATTATCACAAAACAAATACACCAAAGTTATTTAAGCAAAAGAATACAAAATGAAATACAGTCAAAAGTCGTTAATTGAGATACCCATAATTCGGAATGATCTATAATCCGGACCTCAAAGCTAAAAACTTTCTGCGCATGCGCCGCGTTGACACATGCACATAGGCGTTTACGCGTACGCGCAAGACCTCTTACTACTGCGCATTTGCGTGTGCGCAAGCGCAGAATACGTTTTCGTGTGCGCGTTTTACGTATAACGGACGGTGTAAGCTAAAATTATCTAATTATCTATTTCAGTTAATGTTGATGATTGCATTGTTCCCTAATTTCGAATAGGATCCCGGCTTATTATTTTTTTGCAAGACTGTTAAGAGTAATTACTATAAAAAGTAAGCTTGAACTTTGGATTATGTAAAAGTAGAGTTTCAGATCCTGGAGCTGCCAAAGGATCGCACGAAGCAAAAGCATGTTTCTTTCCATCAAACAAAAAGTAGAATTGCTGCAAAAAATGGATAAAGAGCATGAATGTGACAGAGAGGTTGATGAAAACGAAAAAATTTCGATTGACAAGTTAGTTCAGATATCCTCGCCACAGCAATTGCAGGACTTAAACAGCGGAGCTTTGTAACTGAACAAGAAATTGATGTCTGTTTATAGAATTAAAGAGAAAGTATTATCACATTAAAACGAAGCAACTTATACAACTTACATTGAAAGAAATGTTTAATAAAGTAAACAAATAAATATTAAGCTTTTTTTGTAAATTTTGATACCCTTTAGATCATAATTGTTCTTTATTTCATAAATTACGGTTTCATATTTTTTATTTTGGAATTTCTGCATGCCATCTTACGCGATTTAAACATATGATCCATAATCCGGAATCGCCGAAGTCCCGACGAGTCCGGATTAACGACTTTTGACTGTAATAAACTTAATAGCCAACAAACTAAAAAATAAAATTATTGATAGAATAAAATATGGGAAATATTTTATTGCCGTGATTCTTGATTGTATTCCAGATGTCAGTCATCAAGAACAAATGTCTGTTAGCATCAGATATGTTTCGAATGGAACATTACCAGGCTCAAATATTGCTATATTTTAACAAATCATCAAATTTATACAAGTAGAGAGCAGCACAGGAGAAAATCTATTTTTTGTGTTAGAAAAGGATATTCAAATTTTAGGACTTGACATCAACAACATAAGAGGGCAATGCTTTAATAATGGTTCAAACATGAAGGGGAAAGTCTCCGGGGTGTAAGCTAGACTCTTAAAAGAAAGTCCACGGGCATTTTTTTACTCCTTGCATTTGTCACAATTATAACCTAGTATTGGGAGACGTGGCAAAAATTTGCCCAGAAGCTTTAACCTTCTTTGGTATTCTCAAACGCCTATATGTTTTGTTTTTGGAACCTTCAAAAAGATGGTTAATACTTCTCAAATATGTAAAAAGACCCTCTTGAAGCCGCTTTGCGATACCAGGTGGGAATGTCGAATCCAAAGCGTAAAAGCAGTGAGATACCAAACAGGTGAATTTTATGATGCTCTTTTCGAAATATCAGAAATTTCCGAAGATTCACAAATTAAAAGTGAAGCAGAATCTCGGGGAAATGCAATGAAAGATTATAAAATTTTAGTATCACTGGTCGAAAATCAATTATGTTAGTGAGGAACTTCAATGTGAATCTGTAGATGTATCCATTGCACTTTCTTCATTCGAAAAACTTTTTTAAATGGTTAAGCAACTACAGAAATACTGGATTCGAACAAGTTTTAGTTCAGGCAAAAACTCTTGGAGAAGATTTGGATGTATTAACAGAATTTCGAAACAAAAGGCTTCAGAAAAGAAAGAAACATTTCAATTATGAACCTATTGAAAACCCGATAAATGCATACAAGATATCTTTTTTTAAATGTTGTTTTAGATAAAGTACATAATTACTAAAAGATTGTTTTGAACAATTAAAAAATCATAATGAATTATTTGGGTTTCTGGGAAATTTTCAAAATATGGAAAAAGAAGTACTTCAAAAACATGCAGCTGAATTAGAAATTTCTCTAACAGATTCCAAGTTAACAAAAAAATGATGTACCAAAGGTGAAAGAAGCTGATATAGACGGGAAAATGTTAGTTGAAGAAATGGAAGCTTTGAAATCTATTTTTCCTTCAGAATTTTTTGAAAATCTGTTTAAAATGTTCAAATTTTTATTGGATAATGATAGAGCAACAGCATTTCCAAACTTGTTTATTGCTCTCCGAATATTCTTAACAATTCCAGTAAGCGTTGCTTCTGGAGAGAGATCATTTTCCAGGCTAAAATTAATAAAAAAACTATCTGAAATCAACAATGAATCAGGATAGATTAAATAGTTTAGCAATTATGTCTATTGAAAGAGAAAATGCAGAGAAATTAGATTTTCAAACAATTTTAGAAGAATTTACAGAACAAAAACTTAGAAATATGTAAATTCATGTATTCATATTCGGTGATGTAAGTTTATATTAAATAAATGCTTTTGTATTTTGAACATTTTTATTTTTTAATTTATGTAGAAGTTTTACCTGTCTGATGATCCATGATATTTGATATATTTATATATAGATATAATATATATATATATACTGAATTTGAATTTTATTTAAATATTTAATATATAGAGAGGGCCCCACAGAAAAAAAATCCAATCGGGCCCCGCACCTATTCGATCCGGGCCTGTTTCCGAACAACTTTCCTCAAAGTTCTAACAGACAATCTCTAGACAAAACAGGAAGCTCTTCTCATTAAGTAAATGTTTGACAGAGGTGTGCATATCGTTACAATGCGTTGGAAACTTTAACATATGAAGTCTGTCTAAAAACTATCCAACCTCAGCACTTTTGTAGTGGTGTTTGGGATGAGCCACTGTATGCAGGGAAAGGAGACAGCTTAATGTGCACACTTGAAATTTCTCTCTGCTTTTGATTGTAAGCGATATGCTGTTATATGTATTTGTTGGATTTTTTATTTCTCTCAGATTTAAACACAGATATTGCACCTGATTTCATAAAACATTTGGTGATTCTCAAAGTGAAACAATTTATAAGATCGAGCAGGTATTTGGAGATGATGCTATGGGGTAATGCAAATTAAAGAGTGGTTCAAACAACTGAAAAATGGCCACATATCACTGAAGAATTACCAACGTTCTGGGAGGTTACAAGCTGCTTGGATTGCAGTTCATGTGGAAAGAGTGGAAATTATAGTAAAGGGAGACTGTCATTTGAGAGACTGTCAAAGAGGCTACTGTCAGTAAAGATTCCACACATGCAATTCTGCATACTGATTTGAACATACAAAGAGTGGCTGCAAAATTTGTACCTAAACTGCTGTTACGACAATGCAATACAATGACTGATAGCTGCATCATGACAAGTCTACATCAGGTGCATATTCATTGCACCTGATCCAGACTGCCTTGACAAAAATGCATGGAATTCCATTCATTCACCAACCTTCTTACTTTTCAGACATGGCTATTTGTGACTTCTGGTTGTTCCCAAAATTGAATACAACATTGAAAGTATCCCGTTTCGAAAGTTAATTTAAAAGAAAAATTATAATGTTTGACGTGGAAAAATTAATGATATAAAACCTTTAATGGATTAGATTATAAACCAAGTCTTTAAGATTGCAGTTTTCTTTCCACAACTACTGGTTAACCATTTCTCTTCTGTATAAGGTATTTTCTCCTTTCTTTCTGCATACCTGCGTGGTGAAACTGGAAGCACACTTAACATGTAATTGAAAAGTCTCGACATCAAATCCTGGCAAGGGTACTGTACACTTTTTATGTCTCCAGCATCAAAAACACTAATGACTCTACAGTGGTGCCCAAACAAACAATAATTCATCATCACCAGGATTTGGGGATTAGCCCCCCCCCTCCATTTCCAGACACCCATTAAAAAAGGGAGTATATAAGGTATTTTCTTCCTCCTTTCCACATGCCTTCGTGGTGTAACTGGAAGCATACTTAACATGTATTCGGAAAGTTCAGAGTTCGAATCCCAGCGAGGGCATTGGACATTTTTCATGTCTTCAGCATCAAAACCCCCAATGACTCAACAATTTAAATACTAGTATAGCATTGTTTGCCTCAGTGTAAAATAGGACTCCCTTCCCATTTTTGGCATACAGTATAAAAATCTACAACACACAAAAAAACTTTTTTCAACAAGTTGCATTTGAAAAAATTATTAATTTTATCCTTTTTTAGAATTTGATTTTAATTCTCTGTCCTTAATTAGCTTTGTTACAAAATGTATTGTATTTTGCTTTTTATAACACTTTGTTGTTAAAATTCTATTTTGGATCACTGCCATAAGAAAAAGTTTAATTTTCACCATTAGTCAGAGCCTTCAATATATTCAGTTAGTAGCAATTAGTACAACAATTAGGGCATGATACTTTTTGAGTGACAAATTTTATATCACATTTAGAATTTTAAAACAATTTTAGATCACAAAACTGAATGCATAATTTCAAAAACTTCATTAATGCACATATAAAGTATTTGCTTGTCTAATTTTTAATGAGTTCTATTATAAATATAATAAAAATGAAACTCACACTGTCCTCATCTTCAATAATATCTTTACCAACAGAAGATAAAGTGGTCCATTTACAGTTATTGGGAGCTTTTACAGCACAACGTTTATGGGCTTTGAATTTACAAACTAAACAGAGAGACATTAAAGGAAAGAAATAAATATCATCATTGCGTTATTGACAAAAAGAAGAATTGCAATACTTTGTTTATGAAATGCATATTAAATATTTAAAAGAAGAAATTTAAAAAAAATACCTTCACAAGATAAACCATGAGAAGTTACACCTGAAAGAGCTTCTCGGCAAACATTGCAGTATGTGGGTCGAGCATGAGATGTTACATACCAGTTATGTTGACCTGACAAAAACTCATGATGGTCTGCACCCTTTATTATGAAGAAAAATTTGACTGAATAAGATAACAGCAATTATATATGTGAAGAGCAAAAATACAGAAAGGCCACCCTTCCCAAAAAAGAGCAATTCTACAAATTACATAATATTACCTAGCACACATTTGTAGAATACACAAATATGAGGGACATTTTATAAGTTTGGTAAAAAATGCAAGTAAAACAGTTTCTAAAATTTTATTACAGTCAGAAAAGTAAGTTGTCTCAAAGTCTGCAAAACTCATTTATGGTGACAATGACTTCCTCATTTGATGAGAATTTCTTTTATACCAAGCCAAGTTTTTAAGTTTGGGAACACAAAGAAGTCACATGGGGCCAAACCTAGACAATACGGTGGATGAGAAATCAATTCATAGCCCAATTCAAAAGGCTACCAGTCTTTGTGCTACGTCACAAAATCTGGTTTAGGGCTTGTGGCATAGGGTTCAAAGTTTTCAACTTTGCCGAGTTTGAGATAAGTTTGAGATAAGCGTCGACCAATCAGAGCGAAGCTAAAACAAAGCGGCATTCTGCAGAAGATTTCACTGTCACAAAACAAGCAGAGCAAATGCGGGAAATTAATCGAGCAGGAGAACAGCGAGAAAAAGTTGTAGACACATCCACGCATGCACAAATTTAGGTTCTCTTTTTGGCCACGGTTTACACCCCGTTCTTGCAGGAGTGAACGAAACTTCCGTATTTTATGCCCCTATGACTATGCCTCCATGCCCTTTATGTCGCCGTCTGAACGCAGCCTTGGGGTAAGAACATTCTTGACTACAATTTTCCTTCTTTACTGCATACACATCAAAGTTTGGAAGCAATTGAAAATCACTGATTATATGGAATACAAGTTTATTTTCACAATCCAGGTTGAAATACCTTAGATTCTGTTTCATTGTATGATACCTTAAATTTACTTTATTAACATTAAGCTTATATTCTTCTTTATTGTTTAAATTAACAAAATACTATGAAAGCTCATTTGAACTCCCTAAATCACATTTTTGTTTAATTTTATGCCTCTTGTATTGTGACTTCAAGTTATTTTGTCCACCATGCGAAACACTAAAATCTTTGCTACACAAAGTACAAAATGCCTAGCTATCATCTGATCCTGGTTTAAACCACAAGAACATTTCCATATAGCACACTTAGTTGCTGTGACATTATAGCAACATCCCAATGTTACATTTTCATCACACATTTGTGACCATGGTATAATGTCACAGATATATCGCATTGTGACGTGGATGTGAATGTTGCATGGTTGTCACATACATTTCACAGCAAACACTTAATGTGCTACAAGAAATTTCTCAGTCTTCCCCATCCTGACCTTTCTTGACTTTGCTTATGTAATTCTTCTTTAATCGCAGGTATTCCTGCATGCTGACTTTAACCCTCCCCCTTTGATTCAATGTTAATTGTTTCAGTAAATCTTTCGAAAGAAATAATTTTTTATGTTAATAGCTTGCGATTTTAGTTACTTCTTTTTTATTAAAAATACTGATAGTTTATAGCAGGTTTTTACTTTAAATGATAATAAAAAATTGTGGAACCATATCCTGTGATGAATGCAAACATATTCTACCATATACAGCATTTCATTTGATATCAAATGCAGGGTAAACACTGACTTTTGCCCACTACTAGGATTATGCATGACAAATAAAGTAAATATAATTTTATAAAAGATAATAAAGCTAAATAACAGAGATAGCTAAAATATTTAATTACAATTTTGTTGTTGCTTTAAAGAATTTCCAAAATTTTCAGGGAAAAATAAAATTACTGATAAAAATTATTCAATAATTACCTCATAAAAATCTTTATTGCTAACATTTTTCAAGGCAGTTATCCATTCTTCCATTTCTTTTCGAGATTCTGCACATAGAATCAGACGGCGGAATGGAGTAATGACCTAAATTAAAAAGAAAGATACACTGATTAAATTATATTAAAACTAAAATTTAAAAAAAATTCGAAACCAAAAAATGATTGCAGTTATAAACTATATACAATTATAAAATATCTCACCTGAAAACTATGATTGACATTTTTTATGCTACATTCTGCAATGCTCAAATCAGTTAGATCCACCTCTTCAAAAATCACAGACTGCAAAAATAAATTGATAACATAACAAACAAAAAAAGATTTTCAATGCACAAATACAACTTTTCTTTTCTTTGAACAACAAAAAATACAGCACATTCAGAAAATAAATAAACAGTAATATACAAGCAATAAAAGTCACACAAAAGAATTTACATTCAACCACTGTTTCCTACAGAATTCGTACAAGTCTTTAATCCGGACTCGTCGGGAATTCGGCGATTCCGAATTATCGATTTTTCCGGATTATAGATCATCAGTTTAAATCTGGTAAGATGGCATGCAGAAATTGTAAAATTAAAAATATGAAATTTATGAAATAAAGAACAATTATGATCTAAAGGGTATCAAAATTTACAAAAAAAGAAAAAAAGCTTAATATTTATTTGTTTACTTTATTAAACATTTCTTTCAATGTTTCAGTTGTTTAAGTTGCTTCATTTTACGTGATAATACTTTCTCTTTAATTCTATAAACAGACAATTTCTTGTTCAGTTACAAAGCTCCGCTGTTCAAGTCCTATAACTGTTGTGTCGAGAATACCGACTAATTTGTCAATCGAAATTTTTTCGTTTTCATAACCTCTGTGTCACTTTCTTCATTCGGAAGCGAATATAATGACGAGGAATTTGATTTAAATCATATCAAAGACGGAGTACATCGAGATGAAATACTACATTTAGTAAGGAATTATAAGCTGAATAAAAAATAAAAACATCTGCCCTGAAGATAAGGATAGTGCTGACAGATCAACTTACAGTTCATTGTGTGCGGCACTACGCCCCCCCCCCCGCAGAGCAGAGTGAAATTGATAAACAGATTTTCGGAATGGTTAAGAGAAAGCAAAGGATATGCCTTTATCATTTTTTGCAGCAGGCGATTTCCACTTTTTGTTTGATGGACATCGAAACATACTTTCGCTTTGTAGATCCTTTGGCAGCTCCAGCATCGGAAATTCTATTTGACATAATCGAAAGTTCAAGCTTACTTTTATAAAATTGCTCTAACAGTTTGCAAAAAATAATAAGCTGGATCCAATTCGAAGATTAAGGAACAGCGCAACCTGCTACATTAAATGAAATACATAATTAGATAATTTTAGCTTAGCTTATACCGCCCGTTATACATTAAACGCGCATGCGTAAACGTATTATGCGCATGCGTAAACGCCTATGCGCAGGTTTGTAGCTTTGAGGTCCGGATTATAGATCATTCCGGATTAACGACTTTTGACTGTAGTACTATTTCAAACTGACACACAGCATTTAAAAAACATTTTAGAATATTTCGTTAGGATCTCATTTGGTAAAATAAATTGAAAAACTTATAGTTTATATTTTCTTTTCATTTACAAATAAATGAGTAAAATTTTTTAAATAATGATCTTAATTAAAAAGGCATGGAATTAATAAATTTAAGTTTTCATTCATTCTTAATGATAAATCCATAGATAGGAAAGTGCACAGTGAAGTATTAATAGCAAAAATGTTTTTCTCCTTAAGCACCAATGACTTCAAAGGTGGGGGTGGGGAAGCAGAGGTGGTTTTACATGGTATTACACAAAATGCAGGTGCGAGAGGTGTCACCTACCAAGGGCTCCACAAATTTAGGCTAATAATTTAAAAAAAAAAAAATAGTAAGCATAACCTATGTCATATGAATAGGGGCGCTAAAAAGCTTGGGTGATATTGGACCTATATTTAATATATATTCCAATGGGTACGATGCAGTTTTTTTTTAACATTTAAATTTAAAAAAAAAATGCTTTTCCTTATTCATTTGCTTTAGAAGAAATAAGTAAAGAAATGAATGTAGAATAATATAAAAATGTTAAATTTTTTTATGTGAAACTTATGAGGCATTTTGTACTTAAAATAATTTGGTTTGGTTTAGTTTTGTTTATTCCATTTTAGCAAACTGGACAAGGGCTATCTGCCTAAGAAGAATTTTCTAAAGAAAACTGGTTCATAAAACATTCGGAAATTCACGAAAATGGACATGCTCGTCTAAAATCAAACCCAGGTCGAATTACCAGCACTTAGGGACTTTAGTGCTTGGCTGCTGGTAGCAGATTTAATTCAAAGACAAATATACTGCATTTTGCCGAATGGCAATATACTTCTTTTATATTGCTGAAATTTTTGATTAAATTTTAAACAAAAATGCCTTACGCTTTGCAAAGTAGCAACACAATAAATAAAAAGTATATTAAAAATTCGGACTTTGAAGGGGCACGTTTTTGGGTGAAGGCAGTGTGTTTAAAATTTGGTGATTCTAGTTGACAACTCCTTTCCACAGTGCAGGAAACATGCATGCATATATACATACATATATATGTAAAAGAAATATATAAATCAAAATTATAATTTTAAATATAATTTCTTATAATAATTTAATTATAATTTCTTTTATTTCCTTCTCTTCATCCTAAAAATAATGCCGTTGTCTGGACTGCGTCATTTCTAGATCAATCAATTTCGTATGAACTTGTGTAACGCTCATGACGTAGTTAATTCGGAACTTGGACTCAAGATTTCGAAAACTGAAATTTTCTTAATAAGCAAGTTAAACGGAAACGTCTTCTTGGTGAGCAAAATTGTGGGGTGCACAGCGCATCCACAATGATGATGTGAAATAAAAAAGAATATATGTCCTCAGAAATAATTATCCAGGAATAAAATTATGAGTGCAAATTTATGCCTACGTCTATATTAGAGTGCCATCTTCCTAAACTACGGAGTAAATCCTCTCCAAGTTATTACAACGGTGAGAATCTCCGCCAATTTGTTGAAGCTTTCTCCAAGTCTTCCTATTACTTATATAAATACATAACAGATTCTTCATTATTTAATTATAGCGATATAACAAAACTAGATTTTTCTACATAAAGATTTCAAAGTAATTTCAATTCTCTTAGCAGAAAATACTAGGGCAATTAAAACAGGATTCACTGCAATAATAGTAAATTTTAATGGAGCCGAACGCAATTGAATGCGGTGGGAGAGAAATATATTATCAAATAAGCTTTATGTTTAAATGATTTTAAGCAAATGTAATCTTAATCACTCTTGTTAGAATGGCGTCAGGTAATCTTATTTGTGAAAGAAAATTTTATTTCATGACCTTAATAAGGAATAAAATTAACAATACAAATCAAACAAAAGAAGGCAGTTCTATAATCTAAACAACAAAAGAATGCCACTTCTACAATATAATCGCCCGTTTTACGCAGCCGAGTGAAGGAATTCAGTTTGCATTTTTCGAAAGCGCGATTTACGATACATATTAGATTTAGTATATATAGCGTTGTTCTAACATACATATTTTGATATAAAATCGGACTCATTCTGAAATGACATGCCAATTTGTTTTCCATATTTCGATTCTACGACTCAAATTATGCCCAAAACCAATAAAATTTGGGAATCATACCATTTTTTTCCCTCACTTCCTGTCAAGAGTAAGTCACTTGGCGAACTTATCAGTTAATGTTAACCTTTTTGCTTTTTCTTTCATTCTGAACGTCAAGAAAAAGTGTCTAATTAATGATAAATTTCTTCTTTCTTGGAAATAATTTTATTGCATTTCACATTTTTAAGACACAATTATTTTTACATTTTTTTCAAAGAATTTAATTTTAGTTATTTGAATTGCGTGAGTGAATTATAGTTCTTCAAATAGGTATTGTAAACAGAAAATGCTGTAAAGCACAATTAATACGTCTTTCAATAGGCCGTACAGAAAAGATATATAAGTGAAAAAGATGTATGATCTGTAATTTAACTTAGAATAATATGCGTACAAACAATTTTTGCCAGTTTTATCACAGTGCCATTTATTTACACATTTTTCTCTACTTTTGTCCTACCCCAGTCAAAAAAAGAATAATAAATAGCACGTTGGTTCTGTTTGGACGCATCTGGACGCACGTCGCCAGTGTTAATGTTCCAGCATTTTTCAAACAATCTTTGGAAATAGACAAATGCCACATTAATCCCACGCCAAGATTTCGATGCTTATACCCATATCGGCGAGGCGATAATTTGCATATACGCTGGAGCGACGCCCTCAAACGGGAAAATTTGCAAGCCCCTTATAAAATATGCTAACAAAATGATAGAGGAATAAAACATCTCTCAAACATTTTTCGTCAACAGAATCCAGCGTTTTTCCTATCTAGTAATCTGCTGTTAATATCTGTGCCATTATATTTCTAAATCATATAATTTTGACAATTTTTAAGACCAGTAAATGATATATTAAAATTCACATTTTTAACATTATCCGTAATAATATGAGGAAAAACTAGCCATTTGAAACATTCTTTGTAAAAGAGTTATTAAAAAATTTTAATTTCATATAGTTTCGCTAAAGGATGAGATATGATCAAAACCGTCAAACCCTTATTCTCTTACCCTTATTCTAATATTCTCAATTCTTAAATCTTAATGATATTCTTGACTCATCAAACTCTTAAAATTAAAATAGTTAAATACTTAGTTTAAAATTAGATTTTTCGCATTTATAAAGAAAAGCCAAGAATCAACCCAAATATAGTCAAGTTTCGGTAAGCCAAAATTGAAGGAATACACCATCTCAAAAAACAAATATTAAAAACTCGACTTTGAACCAGTATCAGTTTCGAATAGTTTGTTTCGATACTCACTTTGTCTTCGAATTTTAGTTCCAACAATTATTTTGTAGGGTTTATATTTATTTTAACTAACATTTATTTTAAGCTATCTTTCCTGTCAAGCCTTTACTTTCCCCTGGAATTTGCCAAGCCAGATGTAAATCGTAGTAGAATGCGCAGAGTATTCAAATTTTAGCAAAGTAATTGAGTTTAAATAGAAAGGAAACGAGATTGTAGGTGTGCTTCTTGAATCACGAGCGTGAAGGCTGTTGGTAGAAAGTTACCTCGAGCACGCGCGGATATGTCAACCATGTGCATTTTTCTTTTTGTATATTTCTCGCCCATTATTTCATAAAAGGTCGAAACTTAG